GAAGTAAACTAGTAGAGTGGAACAGGAAAAATAGGATCCAAGGATGAAATCAAGTTGGTAAACACCTCCTGGGTACTGACTGTGCAAGCATTCCAAGGGACACATGGGCGTGTAAGACAAAGGCCCCCACTCACGGGGCTTACAATCTAGCTAAGCAGTTAAGACAATGCATAAAATAACTAAAAACACAAATAAATACATAACTGCTAAACAAATGGTACAGCCAGGATTCCCGGCTTTTTTCAGTCATGATGACTCCTTTTATCATCAACTATTATTTCTGATCATTATGTGATATAAGGTATTCCTTACAACACCTTGTTGATTGAAAAAAATGCCTAACAATAAAAACAATCTACTATTAACTCAACATTTTTCAATGAATTTGTATTTTGTTAATCACTACAGCATCTATGTGTGTTGCAAAAAAAGCAGAACATATATAGATCATTAACTCAAGCTCTGATGTGTGATGAATCTACTCAACAGATTCACAAGCCTGGCCGATGGGCAGTAAAGACACACACACACATGCACACACACAATCTTTACCCAAAGCATGGGGAATTACTCAAAGAAATTTACTGATAATAGTTCAGAAGCTGGTAGAGACTAGATGACAAATTTCTAAGAGATTCAACTCAATGAACATTTAGCTAACTTAATTAAAACAAACATTTAAATATTATAACGAATAAGAGATCCTGGAGGATGGATGGGATGAAGCTGGACGGAGGGACGGGAATGTGAGAAGTGGCCCAGCCTGAAGCCGCCTCAGCAGCCCACTGAGGAGAGGGAGGAGGTGGTCACAACCTGAGCAGAGTCAACCTGCCATCCGGAAGGGACACACCTGCTCAAGACACAATCAGGGCAGACGGGCTCCAGAGTCCCTGGGTCTGGACTTGAACCTGGGACCCACCTCTCACCGGGTCTGGTTAGTGAGGGCAGGCTCCTAAGCCCAGTCTCTGCTGTAAAATAGAGACCACACTGCCTGCCTCACAGGGAAAGACGGGTTTTGAAGTGAGGCTAAAATAAGTAACCATCATGAAGTGAGCCCAGTGTCCCAGAAGCAGATAACACCACGCTCTCACGACCACATCACAGGGAGTGAGTGCGAAGGTAAGACGGAGCCCAGAGTCCCTCAAGCAGAAACTTACAGAAGGAAGACTAAAGGAGTGAAAGAGGCATGAGGCACGCAGACTAGCATGGGACGACAAAGAAGAAAACACCTAAGGATCCAAACTATGAATTCAACCTTTTGGGTAAATTCTTAAACTCTTTTACTAATTTAGTATGTATTTTATTAATCACATATCAAAGCTTTCATGCTGCAAAATTGTTGTGAAGATGACTAGTTTTTAAAAGCTTTATAAATAAAATCCTCTCCCCTACCAAAAAAATGAGTAAAATTCAATTATCTTAAGAATAGGTTTTATTTTCCTCCAGATCATTTTATAACAGTCCGTGCACTGCCTCAGAGTGGGGTGTGGAGCTGAAACAGAGGACAAGATAAACAGGAACAGTAAGACACAACAAGTGAAGTAGTGTTCTATGCTTGTGTGAACACTGATAAACTACACGGCTTAGACAGGACAGTACTGGGAGCCTCTTCCCACCACCCCTAATGTTCAGGACTATAAAAACACCTATCATGTAACAGGAATACAACAGGCATTAGGGGACAGGACATCTCAGGAGAGAGGATGGGACACAGGAAAAGGCAGGGAAGGGAAAATTATCAAATTCTGTTCTGAATTTGGCCTTTTTTAAAATTTGGATTTTTTTAATGTATATATGATATTACTATAGAAATCAGATGCTTTTTCAGAAGGGAAAACTAAAACTTAAAAACAAGACAACATGCCACTGTAGTGAAGGAACACAGTTCTGATTGCAGAAGCTTCTCTATCTGTCCCCTAAAAGGGGGCTCCGACCAGCGTGGCCTGGGGGGGAGCAGGAGACCCCCCAGGTGGGCTCCACGCTGGTGAACTGCTCCTCAAGGACGCAGAACTAGGCCCAAGTCCACCAGACGATGAGCAGGAGAGCCGCCCCTCCCCATGGAAGGCAGCTGGAGGTGCCGCGGGACCAGGGCCCTGTCACACAGCTGCCCAGCACACCAAGGCCAGGCCCTCAGAGCAGCGATTCTGTGCCACCCAGGCCACTGTGCCGGGGGCGGGAGAACCAGCCCAGGGACTTTCTGCTGTGGATCCTGGGAGCCTGAGCAGCAACAGACGGCAAACCCAGGGCAGAGAAGAGGACCAAAGCAAAGTCCAATTAGCAACTACACTCTGAGTTTACACGGCGCCTCTTTCTTCCATCAAGTGCTTTGGAGACACTACTTGACCAGGCTCTTCACATTCTTTATTTAAACATTTTCACAGCAAGTCACAGACATCTCGAGCACCCAAGAAAGCCGTGTCCACTCTAAAAGAATAGGGAGGGCCCACACACCCATACCAGTTTGCCGGAGGGAAATCAGCAAAAGCAACAAGACTCAAAGCACCCCTGCTCCTCGCTGTCCTGGCCAGGAGCACAGGTTGCTTCTCAAAGAGGATTCTGAGATTTTAGGGGAAACTGAGTATTCCACAGGTCCCCAAACAAGCATCTAGAATGACAAAGAACAGTCACAGTCCTGCCTCACCCACAGCACAAATCAAGAGCCCAAGGGGCCTTGAATGATCTCTAAAACAAAACCAAAGAAGGAATACAGCAGAGGGGGAAACAGAGGACAAGGAAAGGAAGAAAATAGCTCATGCGTTGTGCTGAGATCACAGGAGATCTCCTGAGATCCATTTTTATCTCAAGAGAGGGGCACCGAGTGCTTCCACAAGCTTGTCTACTACAAGCCAACCGGAGCAGTAAAATCTGTGGGATAACCCGACAGTCATTTTGCACTCTTTCTATATGAATACTTGATTCTTCAGCATTGACTGTGAGTCTACAAACACCAGGCATCGTGCTGGGTCTGAGTACAGAAGTGAACAAAACCTCTCCCATGCCCCAGAGAAGGGAAAGTGGTGGTGGACACAACTGTCAGGATAAAACGTCAGCACACAAACAAGTTCATACTTACATACTGTGAGGAGGTCTGTTGCGGGAGAGAACAGAGAAGGTAAGAGGAAATACCAGAAGCTGCCCCTGGGCTGGGTGGTCAGGTGGTGGGGTGCTACCTCGCCTGAGACTAGAGGAGGGGGCTGAGGGAGGGTGCGAGCTCTCTGCAGGGGCCGAGGACACACAGGTGCGTGGCCCCCCAGGAATCCTGGGTTTGGAGCTCACCGGAGAGGACCAGCAGGATGGCAAGGCAGGCAAGGCCACGTCATGGACAGCCAGGCTTGGCCTCTTGAGGAAAGTGGATTTAAGGACCTTGCTTCTTCCTGTGTCCCTCAGAGTTCTCGGCCCAACGCCTTCCTCATGGCAGACACTAAGAGCACACACACTTCATTATAAACCACTGACCATTTAACAAGCAATGCAATCACTTAAAATCTTGGCCCTCAAGAATCTTCTAGAAAAGAAAAAAAAAAAAAAAACAGACCACCCCTTCACCCCAAGGAACAAATGTTCCCAAGACAACAAGAAAAATATCCTGAGACAGCATCTGATTAAACGCCCAGTGAAACATTCAAGTCGCATGTCGGTCCCTGGAAGGGAGTAATTTTAGGCCTCAGTAGTGACAACAGGTCTTCCAGAGAAGGCAGGACTCCAAGGGGAAACTGAAGTTCAGGAGAATTCAGCGGAGCCAGCTGGGAGGACATTCCAGGCACACAGATGGGGTAACCTCCAGGGCACAGCTGGACACCCTGGACACCTGGACAGCAGTCTGGCCAGAGCCTCTCCTGTGCAGCCAGCCCAGCCTCGGGGGCCTTGCAGGGAACAACAGGAAGGTTCCCACAGCCTGGCACCAGCCGGTCTCCTGCCTGGCACACTCCGGGCGAGCTGCCTGGACAGGAATGTGAGTGACACTGTCTGCCCCAGGAGGAGACAGGAAGGCAAAGAGCGATGGATCTCATTCACTGGGATTAAAAAAAAAAAAAAAATCAAATGCCAAGAAGGAGAGTGAGAAGAGGAAAAAATCCAAATTGTTGTAGAATTATGCAACTGAAATTCCATGCATAAGCCAGGAAATTCAAAGGTCACAGTTCCCACAGCAACTGTAACCTGAGCCGCTGGCCGTGTAGTCTTTGGCAAGCCAGGCCAAATGTGAAGCACCCGACCGTGTTCAGGGCTCAGCCTGCAGGCCACAGGCCACCAGCGGTACCTGCCGGGGTCCTGGGCCGCTGCTCCGAGGTCACCTGCAAGGCCACACCAGGCTGCAGTCCCAGATTCTCCGGATTCTTTGAGGCAGAGCTCCACTGTGACCCTGTGCCCACTCAACTCTTCTCTAGGGTTGAGTGACCTTGGGAGGGAGCAGGGAGAGGGTGCTCAGGGGAGGGACTGCTCCCCTCCCCTCTGAGGTCTGCGCATCCCACACCTGCAAAACCTAACCAACTGGGAGACAGGACGGGCCCGGGCAGCAAGGGAATGTCAACTTCAAAGGACACCATCAAAACGGTTTGAAGATAACCCACAGAATGGAAGAAGATTTCTGCAAGCTATTCCCCTGACAAGGGCCTCATCTCTAGAGAAAACGTAACTGAGCACATGTTCCTTCTCCAGAGAGGCAGGGCCACCAGTAGGTCACCCAAGGCCCTGCAGGCATCCTGAAGCAGACTGTATCATGGCAGTGGAGGAAGGGTCCGAGTTCCCCTTCTACCGTTAACCCGCAGCATGAGGTCACAGTCCAGGCTGCGGGTACCTGCCTGTGGGTGGGACGGAGGACCAACAGGCACCTGGTGATCAGGGGCCTTTTCAAAGGACAGGGTTCCTGAGGTTCTTCTCCTCACTGTTCAATCATCATGGCAGAAATGACTCACCCTTAGAAAGCTGACATCCTGGAAACTGTTCCTCTCTTCAGGTGACATCGTATGTGAGCAGCTGAAACTACAGGCTCTGGGCAAAGGATGACTTGCCTGTTCCTGTGGCTGCCAAGGCGGCCACAGACAAGAAAAGCACAAGGGCTCAGCTCCCAGTGGCTGTCTGACCTGAGCACGGCCCTCCGTGATGTCACGAGAGATGACCGGACTAACGCAGGTAAGAGCCACGCTGAGGCCCTAACACACAGGAGCTCAGCACGTGGGAATCACTGAAATGTTGCTATTTCTTCTCACACCCAACCTGATGACCACTTCACTTACAAGAGCTGGGTCCAAACCAATGATGTGGTTGCTTTAGCAACCAGAACAGCAGCAATAACAGTGGCTGACTCTAGCATGTGCTGACTCTGTGAAGAACTCCACACAAGATTTCACTGATCCCTACGATCACACTATGACACAGACATGATCATTCAGGCTTTGGGTGAAGAAACAGGACAGTAATGTACTCGAGGTCACATAGTGCTAACTGGTAAAGATGGAAGCAAACCCAAGCCACTTGACTCTGGAGCCCCACGTGTGACCACACCGCAGCCATCTTCAAGCACCTGCCTCATCAAGCACAAAGCAGGCAAAGACGTTCCAAAAACACCCCAAGGGTGACTTCTGTGAAAGAACTGCCAGTCTCAGGTCTATCCAGTGATCGCAGAACCATGTGGAGGGTCCTCTTCTGCAGATGAAAAAGGCCAGAAACAATCCAAGATACAACCATCACCTACTGATCACAGGTAGCTCTGCTGAAAGCGGGAATGTGGGACTGGGCTTCATTTCACAAGTACACTTGCTATTAAGGCATCCAAGCACTCTAATGCCTCACAGGTGACACCAGCAAACAAGCCTGGGAATTTCAAACTGCCTCACACACTACTTGTTACTGCCGCCGTTCAGTCACTAAGTCGTGTCCAGCTCTCTGTGACTCCATGGACTGCGGGACGCCAGGCTCCTTTGTCCTCCGCTGTCTCCCGGAGCTTGCTCAAACCCTTGTCCATTGAGTCGGTGATGCCGTCCAACCATCTCATCCTGTTTCCCTCTTCTCCTCCTGCCCGCAATCTTTCCCAGCATCAGGGTCTTTTCCAACGAGTCAGCTCTTCGCATCAGGTCGCCAAAGTATTACAGCTTTAGCATCAATCCTTCCAATAAGTATTCAGGGTTGATTTCTTTTAGGACTGACTAATTTGATCTTGCTGCAGTCCAAAAGACTCTCAAGATCTTCTCCAGTACCACAGTACCAAAGCATCAATTCTTCAGTGCCCAGCTTCCTTATGATCCAACTCACATTCATACATGACTACTGGAAAAACCATCACTTTGACTCTACAGACCTTTGTCAACAGGTGATGTCTCTGCTTTTTAGTATGCTGCCTAGGTTTGTCACAGCTTTCTTCCAAGGAGCAAGCATCTCTTAATTTCATGGCTGCAATCACTGTCTGCAGTGATTTTAGAGCCAAGAAAATAAAATCTGTCACTGCTTCCACTTTCCCCCTTCTATTTGCCATGAAGTGATGGAACCAGATGCCATGATCTTACTTTTTTTAATGTTGAGTTTCCAGTCAGCTATTTCACTCTCCTCTTTCACCCTCATCAAGAATCTCCTTAGTTCCTCTTCACTTTCTGCCATTAGAGTGGTAACATCTGCATATCAGAAGTTACTGATATTTCTCCCAGCAAAATCAATTCCAGCTTGTGATTCATCACAAGCTACTTGATTTCCACCCTATTTCATAAACCCCACAACTGTCCTGCATTTGGACAGATAGGACTTCTACCTTCTCCACCGTCTTTACCCAGGTCTCCTCTCCATCACAGGCCTGTTCCTACGTTCCATACTCTCTCCAGGCTCCAGCTACAAGGTTTATACCTACTTGTTCAGATTATATGCAAAGGGAAAAAAAAAAACATACACACATTCATTTACCCCAACTTAGAAATGGAAATATCCAATTAAGAAAGGGATACAGAGCAAATGAGGCACTGGAATACCACATATGCAAGTAATCCCAAGTATGTCTCCCCAAAGAGACCCCAGCATTCCCACCGACTGGGAATGTGATCTTGGACGAGGAACAGCCCACCTCCTGAGCTGGCTCACTCACAGAGGGAGCATACTCCTTACTGTTACAGGTAGGCAGTAGGGGGCACATGGTTCAGCCAACACAACACTGTCATGTAAGTCAGATGCCTACTTCTTTTCAGTCTTGTCTGAACAACACTGGGAGAAGGTAGACTGCTAAAATATCTTGCAGGATCAGGATAGGAGACAGTTCACATTTTTCATTATGGTAACTTACCTACATAACCCAGATACACCTCTAGTTATTAAATTCTATGTCTTACACTAGAGTAAATTGAGCTGAAAATCTCACTAGATAACACAAGAGAGTTAAGGTTACAATGGAAAGTGACACTGCTCTACTTTCTTCACTTGTCCTTAAATACAACTTCAATATACTGTGTTCAACCTTAAGCTACTCCCAGAAGCCTGGTCCCCACTCTGTGTATTTAAGAGCCATCAGCTTATGGCTGTTTTTATCAGCAACATGATTAGTAAAATGCTATGAAGAGCCTTTATGCTTTAGTCTTTGCTTTCATAAGATTTTAAGTTTCTAAAAACTAAAACAAAGTCACCAACATAAGAAGTGCTATGCTTAGCCGCTCAGTCAGGTCCAACTCTTTGCAACTCCATGGACTGCAGCATGCCAGGCTCCTCTGTCCATGGGAAGAAAGTCTGATTAGTAAAGGCTATGAAACTGGTTATAGACTATTCAGCTGCAGAAACGTGTCAAATAAAACAGGAACACCTAAACGCATAGAAATGTGTCATGTAAATCTGAGTTTACTCAAAAACTGACTGCAAATTTGACTCATCAAAATTAACAACTTTTATACTCCAAAACTATCAAGACAGGACATCCCACAGAGTGGGATAAAATGTTTGCAAACCATATATCTCATTAGAAACTCATATCCAGAATATATAAAGAACTCTTACAACCTGATAAATAAAAAGGAACCTAAATTTTCTAAGGGGCAAAGGATTTTAAGAGAGATTTCTCCAAAGAAGATATACAAATGGTTGATAAGCACACAAAAAGCTGCTCAACGTCATTAACTATTTCAAAAATGCTCATCAAAACCACATCGAGCTACTCCTTCACACCCACTAGGACGGCTAGAACCAAAAGATAACTGCAAGAGGTAGCAAGGATGTGAAGGAGCTTGAATCCTCGGACAGTGAGGCTGGGAGAGGAAAACAGTGCAGCCACGTTGGAAGAGTTCTGCAGCTCCTCAAAATGTTAGACACAGTTATCACATGACCTAGCAATTTCACTCCTAGATATGTATACATACAAGAGAAGTGAAGACACACATCCACTCAGAAGCTGGTACATGAACATTCACGACGACGTTATTCAGAACAGCCAAAAGCCAAATGTCTATCAACTGTTGAATGGATAAGGAAAATGTAGTAGATCCATAAAATGGAATATTATTTGGCCATAAGAGGGGATGAAATTCTGATACAGGCTACAACATGGATGAACTCTGAAACATGATGCTGAGGGAAAAAAAATCTAGTCACAGAAAACCACATAATGTATGACTCCATTTATATGAAATGTCCACAATAACAAATCTATAGAGACAGAAAGGAGCCTAGTGTTGCCCATGGCTCAGAGGAGAGACTGGAAAGAAGAGAGTTGCTGCCATGCATAACTTCTTTAGGGATGATAGAAATGTTCTAAAATTAACTATAGTGATGATTGTACAACTCTATGGATATACTTAAAACCAGTGAACTGTACACTTTTAATGAATGTACTCCATGGTACGTGAATTATAAAACAAAAACAGTTTTGAGCAGTATCATGTCTTTTGTGTCCTTGTATTCTCATAAGTAACACAGGCCCTGGCACACAGTAGGTACTAAGCAAATGTTGATAAAATAAAGAAAACAGAAGTGCTGAGTCTTTTCACCAAAGATTTCATTAGAGGAATTCCACCACCGCACTAAGGGACCCCCGTGAGCTAGCCTCAGCCTAGGGGAGACAGGGAGTCTGTTCCAGCTCCTTCTCCCAGCCCAGCACACCCCTAAACATCATGCTGATAGTTTCTGTCTAAAGTCTCTTCTAAACCCCTAATTCTAGGATGCCTTACTGGTGAATATAGAATATATATATATGTATATATATATATATCTTTAAAAGCACATGAGCTCTTGGTCAGGTACTCTGAGGAAGAGCCCTCACCCCAACCCCCATCCCCCCCAGCAGTCTGGTTATAGAAGCAGAATCAGCATTCATGAAATAATCAAAGACTTCTAAGTATTTATCCCTAGACAATGGGGATAAATCAGGAAATAAAGACAGTAAGGGTTTTTCGTCAAATGTAGGGACACTCTTCTGGGGTTCCCCAAGCAGATTACTGAAAACTACTTCCCTGCTTTGTCTATATGGCCTTCCTACCCACAACCAGAATGAACTGCTTTCTGCACAGCATTTGTTCAAAGTCACCGTATGTTACAGTTCACTGTACATATATCTGGCTCTCCTACCATATAACACATTCCCATAGAACGCATTCCTAATGGACAAGGACAACATTAACAATTTATGTCCCCTTGAAAACCATTAGCACAAAGTCCTGCACACAGGAAATATATAATTTGTATGTGTTAAATTTAAGTATCAACTTCACAAAAACATTATTAATACCTATTTTCTAAAGCCAAACAGGAAGCCACATTTACATGCCTGTGGCAGCTAAGCAGCCAATCGGCCTAAAAGCAGGATCCTTGACTGCTAACACGACCTTCACATGACCTACAGCAGGCAGCCACCTGATCCACACCCACCTTTCTTTCCAAAAGCCCCGCCTGCTTCCTTCCAATCATTGAGCACCCTCTAAGCCCTCACATTTCTCCCTGGTTCTCCAGAAGCTGGCCCCTCTGGTCTGGCCCCTCCACTTCCCAGCCTACAGCTCTGGGCAGACTGAGCACCTCGTCACAGTTTCCCAGGCCCTGCCCTGGGCCTTCCTCCAGGCCCTTTGCACACTTATGCATGTCTGTGATTTATGACTCATCCATACTAAACTGTGAACTCCATGAAAGCAATGTTTGTTTAACTCACTATGGTGTTGTGCAGGTAAATGCCTAACAAC